AGTTCTGTTATTTGAATATTATAGGTGTGTAAACTCAGCAAAATATTCTAAAAGAGTCCAGTAGCCCATAATAGTACTGGGTCTTCTGACTGCAGCTATCTTAAGTCACAGCTATCATGATTTCCCCAAAATAATCCTGGGCTGTTTTTCTTTCATAATTTTTCAGAAAGCTATAAATAAAAAAAATCATTACAGTAGTATTCTGGACTTTACAACTACATTGAGGATCTAGGGATGTATCTCTTTGATATTTTCTTAGGATAAACCAGTATATCCCAGCTAGGACGAGGCCACTTTTCCTTTCCCCTACATATCTGCCCCTCTTTCTGATCCAAATCATAAGGATCCAATTGGTTTTACTGCCACTCAGGACAATGCTTCTCTCAGGAAGTCCCAAACAAACTGCAATCTGTCTCCTTCTTTGGTATCACAGTGTCTTGGGGTGATTCCTCAGACAATAGGATGGATTTGCTCTGAAACTTGAGGAAAGGTGAGAACATGATAAATGGAAGATAGGAATTAAAGGAACTGAGAGGCCAGGGTATTGGAACCATTACCTATGTAGCAATTGAAGTTACCCGAAATATGATACTAGACAAACTGACAATAGTCAGGCGCTAAAATCTTTGAGGATTCTCAATTCTGGAGGGTCTATGGATAACTATCCAATTGTAAGGACTGGAAAGAAGAGATACAAAGACAGAGCTTTAAAAAAGGAAATAGAATGGTCTGGAGGTAAGCATGACATTTACAAGTATTTTTGGACAGTACCAAAGATTATGGTTTTGTTCAGGTATAGTGAGACCAACAGATCAGGAAATGACCGACATTGAAAAATAATTAGATTTTTACAATTCCTAAAAGGAAGGGCCATACCATGCCAAAAAGGCCATACACAGAAGCAACAGAGCTAGTCAGGAGGCCAAAGTAGTAGGGGAGAACACAGACACAAGTCTATGTTGTATTTGCTTTGGGAAGAAATGAGCAAGGTAAGGAAGGCAAGTGAACAAGATTAGGGTTAACACCTTCCCACTGGCTTGAACCATCAGTGGTACATGCATGGCTGTCCACGAGGAAGCGTATACTACCCAACGGGACTGTCCTATGTTCCTGGATGAGGCAACCATGTATGTATCATCAGTGGTTCAGAGCTGCCTACCTGTGAGACATACTGCTTATGGCTCCATCATAAATGTGTTAAGTAGTCTGAATAATACTGGCAGGCTCCTGACTATAAGGGTAATCCCTTATTGTCTGGTACCTATCTCTGGGATGACTATGATAAAGGAATGCCCGCTGGAGTCTAAGAAACAAATGGAAGAGGTGGTTGTATGAGTGGGTATATGGCCTCAAGACTTGTTAGTTTACATATCAGATATATGTTCACAGGCAAATCATTTATTATCTCTAGCAATTAGCTAACCCTGGGAGGGATGGATTCTCCCCCATCAGACCTCAGATAGAGCAATAAGGATACATGGCTAGAGTTGCGTAAAGGGGCACGTGCCTATAATCTAGTTTACTACAGATGCTAAACTATGAGGACCCAAGAGTTCATGTCTAGCCAAGCAATATAGTAAGACTATATCTCAATATAAAATTACATAAATATAATAGATGGCTGAAGGTGTAACTTAGTGGTAATGTGCTTATCATATCCTAGGTTTAATCCTCAGTACCAAAACAAGAATAATCCCCTGAAAATGCCCAAAAACAAAAACAGAAAAAAAAACAAACAGAAAATACAGTTAATACCAGGAAGACATCTGTCTCACCCATCTCCAGCCCGAATAATATAAAGGTTATGCAAGAAATAAAAGAAGCACAACTTAAGAAAGTTGTTCAATACTATTTTATGGTATTCTAGGATCTCTTGGTTAGTCTTGTTAAACTGAGAACTCCAAGGTCCTCCCTCTTTTCTTTTCCTCTGACATATACACATACTCTCAAAATAACAACATTGGTAAATCTTTTTGGAAAATCAATGATTTTATGATCATCAGTTGAATTTTAATCATGAGGTGATAAAACAAAAACTATTTTCTATTCACTTCTGAGTAATATCTCAAGTCATTGCATAAAAACAACTTCTCAAAACTGTATTTCATCCTCTAATGTAAGTATACAAGATTTACTGTAGACTAAGCAACATAAAAGAATATTTCAAAATCTTCAACAGTTATTTAAAAACAGGGGCCAGGGATATAGCTCAGTAGAATAAGCACCTGCCTGGCAAGTGCAAGGGCCTGAGTTCAATCCCCGGTTCCACCAAAAAAAAAATTTTTTTTTTCAATGTAATCTAAAAGAGGGGCAGTGCATCACA